AAAAAAAAAAAAAAAGAGGAAGAAGGTGGAAACCTAGTACGGCTACCAATTGTCTTGCAGATGATTAGGGTAATGATGGATTTGGTGCTTGAATGCTTGATTGAGTTTTGCTGAGATTTGTTCTTACTATCATTTGGGAAATGGTTTAGTGAAATGGTAAATTTGTAATTTTACTTTTTAAATTTTTTGGTTTATGCAGTGTGCACCCGCCGGGTGCATGAATCATAATCCTTTAAAAAATAGTTGGCCAACTAAATATATATATATAGTTGACGCTCTACACTCGCCCTGCATGCTGAATTTGAAATGTTTGGTATACAAACAGCAAATTAAGTCCCACGTCAAGGAGAGAAGAAAAAGAAAAGACCTCTATATATACTTTATATGTACGGGAAAATGTTATATGATTTGAACTGCACAATTTTAACTATTAATGAAGATGAGTTTCTTGATATTGGGAGTTCGTTCTCCATCTAGTGATTCTTGTTTTATAGTCTTACACAACTATAAAATAAAAAACTCTTATATATATGATGAAAACCTTATTTTACAGTTTGAACTGTAAAATAAAAATTATTAGATAATAGAAGAACCCTCAATATGAGGGACTCAACACTTATCTAATAATTAGTGTTATACAATTTGATACAATTCGAATTATTCAACACATTTTTCATATATGATTACTGTAGTTGAATTAGACTTATGGATTTTGAGCTTTATGTTTTTTCTTCTTCTTCTTCTTTTTTCTTCTTTTTTTTTTTTAAATTGGAGAATTTAATTGCTTAAAATTGAAGGGATTTAAAATCATAACATTAATTCTAAATTAAGATCTTTTTTAGTTAGTGGGTTAACAATTTAATCAAACTCTTCTTTGATAGTTTTGTGCTTTAGTTGTGTAGTTTGGCCTTGGCTTCTAAGCTTGTTTTATTCTTTAATCAAACTATATATAACAATAAGTTAAAATGGAGAAACTTTCCAAAAGAAGTTTGGAATAGTTCACATTAATATCTAATTTTTCTCTTTACATTAGTACAAAATCAAGGAATACTTATTTTTAAAAAAAGGTAAGGAAAACATATTTGTCATTCATCCCTTAATTTAGTAAAAAATTAACCAAATATAACTTTAAAAACTTTAGGAATAATAACCAATATAAATTATTCTCTAATTATAGGAAGAAGTCTACAAATTCTATTGGATATATTCTCAACTCGGAGATCCCAGTTTTGTAAATATACTAGTTGAAAAGAGGAAACAAGAAGACAAGATTTATATGCAAGAACTAAATGGATTCAGGGTGAAGAAAAACCTCATGAGAAAAATCATCTGTGGCAATATCTTCTCATTGATGACTCTCTTTAAAGCAGTCTCCATAAGTTAAAAGACTCTGACGAAAAACAAAGAACTTAGTCTCAGGAGAAACTGAGGGTAAAGAGAAACCCTATGTAGAAAATCCTTAAAGGTAATTTCTTTTTATTGATGACTGTCTTTGAAAAAGTCTCCATCAGATAAAAGACTTTGACAAAAAAAAGCAAAAGAACTTAGTCTCAAGAGAAGATATATTTCTTGCTGGAACTGTGGCTTAAGGGAATTCATACCGATATATATTATTCTCTAATTATCCGAAGAAGTCTACAAATTCCATTGGATATATTCTCAACTCCGAGATCCCATTTTTGTAAAAATACTAGTTGAAAGGAGGAAACAAGAAGCAGACAAAATTTATATGCAAGAAAACTAAATGGATTCATATAGTTCTCATTTTTGTAGACAAATCTTCATGAGTTAAGCATACCAATATTGAAGCAAACATTTTCACTCATCGTGAATGAATATATAATCGATCTCAAAGTAATGCTTGAACCTCGGAGGCCAAGAAAACAACGTTAAGTACACAGAACAATGCATGCCCTGACTAGCTATGAACTCTATTTTTATATTCTGACTCATAATTAATTTTGTCTTCTCAAATCTTACATCTCTGGTTCCCATCACATGGAACCTTTAATGAGGAAAGAGGAAAAAAGGCAAAAAAATATATAATTCTTATCGAGGAAGACACAAGATAAGCAATATTAATATATGTATACAAGCTATATATACCCTTTAATCCACGTCCTTCAAAGACAAAAAATAAAACAAGGGTTTTTGAAGTTGTTTTAAGGCGAATGCTGAATTATATTAATTAGGCTTACCATTTCCATTTCCAGAAAGAGATTCAAGCACCCAATTTTTAGTACTAGTGCTAACACTCTCCCCGCCAACTGCTTCCCTAGCAACAAAACAAGGTCCAATACTAGGACCTGTTTGGTTTTCTTTATTCATCCATGATGTAATGGCCGCCGCAACCGCAACCCTAAATTTAGGATCTGAGGCCATTGCACTAACATTCTCAGCTAAGAACTCCTGGCCTTCTCTAGGGGTACTAAAAATATTTGGATAATTTGGTTTTTCGGGTATCAATGGAAAACTTGGAAGGAGGGCATTATTATGAGAGGAGCTGCCGGGGGTTGTGAGATCAAGAACAACTCCTTTAGAAGGGTCATAGTAATTAGGGTTTATGGTGCGGATGTTGGATGGAAGAGAAGAGGCTGATGGGTTTAGTAAGAAAGCATTGTTTGGGTAGGGAAGTGATGCTTGAGTGAAGCTAGGGATGCCATTTGAGAGAGGGTTGCTGGAGTCTAGTAGCATAAAGGAAGCCGCCGCCGAGGCTGTGGAAGCCATTGCCGTGGCACCCACGGGAAGGGGGTGATTGTGAGTCCCTTCATAGGTTGTGATGAGAATTGACATGTCTTCTAAGCATCTTTGCACCTAATTATTAAGAGGAAATAAATTCCTATTAGAAAAAAAAATACCTTGATTCTCGAGTTCAGATTAAAAAAAAAAATTCAAACCTTTTACACTAGTTGAAAATTTCAGTTTTGAGATCAAATCAATTAAAAAATTCAAATTCTTCCAATACTAATTTTCTCGGTACCTACCTGTTTTCGAACGGGGCATCCAGGAGCCACCGTGCAGCGGTAATAGGCTCGAGGGCAGGGATTCCCTTTAGCAATTTTCTGGCCATATTTCCTCCATTGACACCCATCATTCAACTATATGTTCATCATGAACATCGAAATCATAAAATTAAGTATCAATCCCAAGTAATTTTTGTGTATTTACAAAAAATTTGAAATAATTAATCAAATTGAAAAAAATTTGATGTAAGTAACTTACTGTTGCAGATTGGCATCTTGTTCTAACAGAAACCCTAGCTTTTCTATTGGGTGGAACAGCAACATGGCTTGTGATTGCAGACAAGCTGTTAAGATGATTTCTCTGAACCTCCATAAGATTTGTAATCTCCTGTTTCTGCTCTTCCTTTCTTTGTTGCCGGTCGTATCCAGAATCTGATAGCCTGAGGGACAACCCTAACTCATTATCTTTGTCCGTATCATGATCTTTTAATGGCGATATTTTTCTGGTATCGGATATCATTGCTTGTTCTTGGATTCCACTCCCATTGCTACTCAGTGAGAGAAACACCTGAGGATCCTAAATCAAACAGAGACACATATATAAACATTGCTTCGCAAAATTAAGATAAAAAAGGAAGATAATAGAAGAGATCTTGAATAATTTACATTATTTTTCTGAGAATTATTTTGCTGGACAATAGAAAATTGCCTCTGGAGCTCATGGAAATCTTTCATGGTTTGCTCCACTACCCTCCTTAGCACTTTGTTCTCTTCCTTCATGCGATTCATCTCAATTTGCAACGCAGATAACTAAGGAAATCAACCATGAAAACCTTAATTAGTCCAAGTGTAATTGTTCAAAAGTCAGAAGATCAAATTCAGATACAAACACGTGCATATGTATGCCTAGGTTGCACAAACTCCAAAGCAAAGAAAATTAAGACAAGGTTTTGTAAGATAAAAGTACCTCTTCTGTCTTCATGTTATCTTGCAAAGACAATTGCATTGACTCAGAATCCTCTAATACTTCCCCTGAGGCAGCCATGGCTGCATCTTCTTCTTCTTCAACAACATCCTCTTTGTATTGTGAATCTAATTTTACATCCGCTCTCTCATCATCATCCTGAACCTTTCTTGGTGCTTCTTCTTGGGAATCAATTTTGAGGGAGAGATCTATCTCCATTTTCTTATCTTCTCTTCCCATAATTTTGTAATTTCAAGAGAGATGAAGTGTAGTGCTGATTCTCTCTTGATTTTGTGTGTGAGATATATTGCTGCTTTTGAGGCACCAAAGTCAATTGCCTTGTCTCCAAGATGTGTTATTAGACACACTAGGACGCATCTAAGCTTTGACTTTAATATCTGGGACGTCGTCCTTAATTAAACCTCAATTAATTAAACCAAATTGTAGTTTAAAAAGGAATGGGGGACTAATTGAGCACCCCCTAGATTTCATTATTTGTCCACTTTCCATTTGTTGAAAAGACCATTATACCCCTACTCATCCACCATTCGTATGTTTGCCTTTTGTAATTTTACCCCTCCTAGAGCTTCTGTTTCTTCACTCTATTCACAAAAGGGAACAAGAAAGTCGCACTTTCTGGCCGCTGATATTAACAAAGTGAGTAGCCTTTTTCAAGGGCTTCCTTACGCTGATTAAGCACCCTCTCTATGCATAATAAAGCAACCTTTTTAGAGAAAAGTAGTCTTACCTTTGGATTATTTATAGTCTACGACGCAACCTTTAATTTCACGTTAAGAAAAAAAAATATGATTACGAGTGGAATATAATTAAGTGCTTGATCATTATTACCAAGCACAACTAATATTTAGAGGTTGAGTTTTGAAAGTTTAAATAAACTTTGACATAAAGAGTTGTTTAGTTAATACGAATTTTAAAGTTGAATCATTTTATAGTATATATATATTTTTTAAAGAAAAATAAGAAATTAAAATCAATCACAACCATTAAATAAGTAAGATATAACTTGGATTTTACTTGAATCCCATTTATCCTATCATTATAATTAAATATCTTGATATTTTTAATATTAGAATATCTTGATTTTCCATTTTTTTCTCTTTTTTTATCAACTACCATTCTTAATATTTAACCCAAAAAAGAAAAAAAAATTTCTCAAATAATATTAGATTATAAAACATTTGATAGTCTTCTCTCTTTCTAAAACCACTCCCTACCTATATTTAAGGATTTGAATTCAAGACTCATAACATCAAAACTTAAGTTCTTAATAATTGGAATATTCTTTTAAAACAATTATATAGAACATAGATATATATGAATTCAACTTTTGTTTTCATTTTTTATTCTTTACTGATCTTTGCAAGATTGATAAAATATAAATGAAATAAATAGGTGCAGATTTGTAAAAGATTGTGGGGAAATTTTCTTCCATCAAAGGTCAATTGCTTCATGGACTTCCAGATGAGGTTCAACTGCGAAGGAAGGGTATTCAGATGAGTAATGATGAATTGTTTTGATCGTTTTGTACTACAAAGGAAGTGGAAAGCATTGATCATGTTTTTTGTACAATGTGCAAAAATTCAAAGCTTGTGGAAAAGATGCTAGAAATGGGCCATCAAGTCCAAGTGGAGACTCATTGTGAAGGCATTCAGAACCCTCGTGCATGCGCGGCCTGTAAGGTCTTTTTTTAATCTTCTTTGTGGTAAATGGTCAATTTGGTTTTCAAGAAATTCCATTAATTCAACATAATTCAGCTACTAGAGATGAAGATGAAGATGCAGTCCATATGAGGAGATTCTTCGCCTGGATTCGCGGTAAATCAGAGGGGCGTATGTTTCCTGCTTTACAATGTGGTAAAGATTTTTATGGTGTTGTGTGTGTAGTCTGGGGATGTAATATATGTTAGGATAATGTAGAGGTTGAATTTTTTGCCAATTTACTTTACACCGCAATTTTTATTTTCTCCTCCATGTGTTGTGTACGAGTTAAAGTTTCTCTTATACTCTCCATTAATGAAGTTTCTAACAATTGATGAAAAAAATAAAGTAAATAGCATTATTGTCATTTCAGCACACAAAGAGTAGTGTTCAAAAATTTTAAGGGGCACCCAAATGTAACTAATTTGATGCATATTATCTATGTGGAAGAAGATGAATACTAGTTGATTCGTTTTGGAATTTTTGAGTTGAGACAGAAATAATAAAAAAATGAATAGTAAAATAAAAATGGGAATTCTATCTTACATCATCTCTTAAGCTTGTGGAATATGAGTCCCGTACGAAAACCCATAAACTATAGAAGCCTTGGGATCAGATCTGGCCATATTCAGATTGTCAACTGGAAGACCTCCTTCATATTCATGTTTTGAAGCAAACTTTTTACACCCCTTTTTGTTTATTTATTGCACATCGATCCATGTTCACTTGGATTGCTAAAATTTAACTAATTCATATTAAGGCTGAGGTTATTATTGCGACTAAAGATTTTGTTAAGGTAATTAATTTTAAATATAATTTTATTAATTTATGGTAATTTTTTAAAATAATTAATTATGATATTTTAAATATATATTTATAGATTAATTTTAATTTTTTAAATGATAAATATAAATTATTTTATTAATTATTATTTGTTCTTAAAATCAAATTAAAATAAGAGAATTTGATAGTTTTAATAGTCTTAACAAATTTATTAGTAGTCATAATTATGGCCTATATTAATATAAGAATATTTTAGTCTTCTTGTTTTTGTCATCCGAACGATAAAAGGAAACAATATATTGAATGTTAAAACATTCAGAAGACCCTTATGAAAATTAGTTGTGTACAATTCAATATAAAACTTTTCTGCTACACATGTTTATAATTGGTTGTCACACTTTAATTTTATATATAATTTTAGATAATTTTTTTATACTTTAAAATGGTTGGAATTATTATAGACTAAAATTAATGGTTTAAAGAACTTCAAGGGTACTTCATCTTAATTTCTTCCAGATATATATAGTTACCCATGAAGGTTCAAGTTTGATGATCTGTCCAGATCTAATGGGAAAAAAAAGGGTTAAAAAAGAGGGTAGTAATTAAGAGACTTTAAAGAAAAAGATGGATCCGATCAACAACAATAGTCAGCACGTTTTTAGGACTTTTTCTTTAATTCTTAGTCCATGGCTTTCCTTAATAGCCCCACAACCTCTCGTGGACTTCTCTTGCTTTTCAATAAACCTATGTGTCACGGCAATTTTAAGAGGTAAAATAGGATGGGACAAACCTAAAACATAATTAATAGTAATCCCCTAACATGCACACATTTCGACCCCTACATCTTCCAATGGACCAATATATAAACAATGGCCTTAACCAACTTCATTCAATGGTACTACTTTTCTTTTTTGACAATATCAAATTTCTTTAAAGTTTAATTGTAAAAATTCTATCAGCATTTATCGCTTAGAAAAATATTGTACGATAGTTATTCACAAGACTTTGATCTAGTGGTATACAATAGTAATCCACGAAACCTTGATCTAACGGGTTAAATACGATGAGGAAGCAACACTATAGCCATTGCTTGCATTGGACCTTAGTAAATGGATATAGATAACATACATTATTAAACAAATGACATCCAATCTAGATAAAATTAGAAATTAAGGATGATGAAACAGAGAAGGAAAGGAGAAATGAGTATGAGTTCACATGTCAACTGAGTTACCAAGAATAAAGAATGGATGCCCGTTGGCTGTGTACATGCATGCCACATGGAGACTCCCCCATGTAATGCAAATTTCAAGCACACACAAATACACCCTTTGTTCATTAACTTAGGGAGCATGTAAATTCTTCTGTATCCAATTTTCATCAAAGCCTAAATAAAATAATTAAATTATTCTTTTTAATTTGTTTCATATATACCTGACCACTAAATCAGAAGTTATAATTTAAAAATCACGCTGGTGTCTGGTGGACAGTCTAGCTTATTAAAAAAAAATCGTAGTTCTTGAATTTCGTTGAAGAGAAGATACCAACCATTAATTCGATCCGGAAAAAATTCTGAGGCAGGAACAGGAAGCTTCTTATTGTTCCCTAGAATACTTTCCCTATTACTAATAGCTTTTTTTTAAAAAAGAAATTATAAAACAAAAGTTAACCATCTCATACTTCTTAAATCACTCAAATATATATATATATATATATAATTTAAATTTAAAATTTTTTATTTTCACGAGATTACTACCTAAGTCATTGACATTTTAACAAAAATGTTGAACCACAATTTATATAAAATAATTATAAAAAATAATAAATTCTAAAGCTAATCACAAAAACTTTACTCTTGAGATTACAGAGCTATATTTGGTTTAACATTTCAAACAAATTATAGTCGATATATAGTAGATATTTAATAACTAATATTTGTTGTTATTTATCAGGGGAAGATTACTAGATATGATTCAAGCCAAATCATTTTTATGGATCAAGAATAAGGTAAATGATTGTGCCTTTTCATTTAATGAGTGGAAGGTTAACCCTGTAGCGTGTGCTCTGTCAATGAGAAACCACAAACAAGCAATGAAATTGTTTCATAAACAACAAAAAGAAGGCTACACTGCATAACAGAGTGCAAGTTGAAATTAATTTGTTTGGCGCATGAAGGTTTCATTGAGCGGGTATTTTACTGTAGCATCTTAGTTGAGCTGTAGTAAATACATGCTCAACGATTTTGCGTGTCAGTGGATTTGAAAAGTGGAAGTTTTTTGATGATCAGAACAGGGTGTTATGTAGAAACCGTAAAGGAGGACATAAATTCGACACGGGTATAGTGTCGACACTTTATGTGGGTGTCGACACTATTGGGCAGGGTTAGTCCACTTTATTTCTCTCAACTATTGATGTTTAAGGATTTGGGTATCCTTGTACTCTGTTTATTAATAAATATTATTAATAATTAAATATGTTGTATATCAATTATAAACAATTCAAAACAACTAAACTAAACAAAACCTATATTTATCTTTTAAAATTTAAAAACTATTTTTTTTAAATCATATTTTTAAAAAAATACCGTATTTGACTTAATTTCTGCTTTTGCCTTTCGTTATAAACTAGGCAAAAGCAAGGACCATATGCCCAAATTGTCGATGTGGACAACAGGCTGGAATACTTGAATGTACACTTTGTTTTCCAGCTGCTTTCATCAATTTTCCAAGTATAAAGGGAGTGATTAGCGATATATATATAAACAT